TATTCTTGGCATGTTGTACACTGGCATAGAAAGGAAGAGAACTGCCTATATCTTTTTTAGGTGAAGGTCTATCATTTTCAGAAGTTTCTGTCCCATGAATATCCTCAAAAAAGATTTGAAATGATCATCATCTTTCATCATAGGGTCTGGAAATAATTTGATCTTAGTGAATTCTTTAGTAGACAGCCTCAACCTGCCACAGATTTCAGGATTACCACACTTTTTCACTTCAAAGAAATAGTGACATTGACGGCAACAATGACTAAAAAATTGATTTAAAATTGGTGTCAAATAATTCAGACTAATTCTTTCACTATATCTTAGATTAAACTCAGGATCTATTTTGTATAACATTAAACTTCTTTTAACTGTAATCTTTTAGTTATTTTACTCAGAAGTATTTTCACAGACTCTATTGAATCCAATATATCTTTGCAAAGATTATGCTTTTCTACAATTATTCATTGCATGAAACCTATCTATGTTTTTAAAACCAAAAAATTCTGCTATCCTCATTGTTATATTTATAAGACTTGTCCAACAAACTGACGACATAATATGATGGAAAAATATATAGCAATAAATAACCCATCAACACATATTGTCTCCAGGTAACTTCAATCAACCTTTGTTAAGTTCTTCTGTAAAATCTTTAAATTCCTCAAAATAGAAATTTGTATAACTTTCATCTCTATTGTTTCTGTTGATGTATCCTGCAATATAGATTAGTGCCATTTTTACAGATTTAGATAAGACTAACATATATTTGAAAGATTATAAAATACATTCAAGGTATTGTAATCATTTGTAAAAATCCACATTTCAAACAAGAATGTTCACAACTTGTTTGGATTTCATTAAAATCTGTCTGTAAATCAAAAAGAAGCTTTGTTTTTTTTAATTTTTACTTATTGTAAAATTTGTTGAACATTGATGAAATATGTTCCACCCGAATCTTGACATGGCTTACTAAACATTTTTTCAATGGGATCATTGCTTCCCATGCTTTTGAGGGACCATTTTTTCAAACATAATTGCTAAATCAAGTAAAAATTCTAATTGCTGATCATTAGGATTATCAAAGACAGCCCTTTTAAAGTCTATAAACCGGACATCTTCAAACTAAACATTAACATTTAGGATTTTAAAAAAGTCTACAATTTTTGATATAAAATCAACAATTTTACATAAACCCTGCATTTCTGGATAAATCTTTAGTGCAGTTAATGTTTCAGCACAAAAAATCTGAAGACTTAAATGCAAAATTCTGTCGTTCTATGGGTTTTGGACAGATAGACACTGGATTGAGCTTTGATAATTTAACAATAGAATGTTTCTCTAACTCAAACAGCTTTTTTAAGTCAATCAACTTTGCAGTTTTTTTAAGGCCACAGTCTGAATATTTTAACTCAATTTTGCATTTTTTTTTAGATTTGATTAGATGGACAAAGAGCAAAAAAATGTTTTCAGTTGTCCTCCACTGAGTACAAACTGAATTTTTTAAAGAATGCTTGATTTATTCTATTATTATCACACAAAATTGCAACAGTATTGCCATTACACGAAGAAATTTATCATATCAACAACTTGCTCATATTGAAAATCAGCACTTAAATGATACAATGGCAAAGCTTTGTACAAAAACTTTTTACTTCCAAATAATGAGAAAATCATAAAATTTAAAACAATGGTTGCAAAATTTTTTTTTTTTTTTTTTTTAATTTGCATTCACTCCCAACAAGGCTGCAAGCAACCACTATTAAGTTGGGAGTTACTAGGAAAAAAAAGAACAGAGTTATAGAGCAAGAAAACGGTTGACAGAAGACTTGAAAAGTTGAAGGTTGTATGAGTCAGGAAAACATGAAGATGGGAGAGAGTTCCAAAGGATTGAAGTGCGGGGAAAAAAACTAGATGAATAAAAGTTTTTAGAGCATGCAGGGAACGATACAGTAAACAAATGAGACTTAGCTGAATGACGAGTAAAACGAGAATGAATTTTAGTTGATGGAACTAGAGATGATAACTCCTTTGAGCAGTGACCATGATAGTATCTGTAGAAAAGAGAAAGAGATGCAACTTTACGACGATGGGAAAGAGGTTCAAGCTTAGCAGATAGTCCAGGTCCAACAACATTTACAATGCGTTTTTGGACCTTGTCAAGAAGAGAAAGTGAATCGTTAGAAGAACCAGCCCAAATATGTTCTAGATTATTTACTGCTTTTCCAAATAAATTACCGCCTTGATATATTAGTTTTATTTGGTTGATATTTGATATTTGGTTTTACATAAACTTTGTCAATTATAATGACTTTTTGTTGACGAGGATCTTCAAAATGCATAAAATATTTGTTAAGGAAATCAACATATTCTAATTTAGCAACTTTTGATATAAGTTTACTGAGTGTTACAATACTTGGCATTTCCTAATCATCTCTAATACGGCTGTAAAGAGATCTTGAAATTGCAAAATACTCAAAAGCTCTACTTAGAATTTCTGGTG